CTCACAAGGGCCTCCGACCCTTCGAACTTCGATCGAGTACAGGTTGCTAGATTAAAGCGACGTTGTAATAATTTTGAGGTGATCGGGGACGATCTGTTCTTTCGGATGATAGGGGTGCGGAAGAAGTGTGTAACACTCCAAGGAGTCTTGGAAGTAATTCGAAATAATCAAGATAAGAAAGGCCGATGGAAAAGCTGCGAGGAAGAAAATTTATACAGCGTATTGAGGACTCTTGGATGTGGTTGGCCATGGTGGCTCCCATGGAAAATCTTACCTTTTAAGTCTGATTAATGAGAATGATATACCAAGGGCCTGCTACAGGGACCAACTCAAGTTATTAAAACTTCGGGAAAGTCTTTTAATCACTGTTCGAAAAGGAAAAGCACATTTTTATCAGAACCTTCTGTGCAGGATCAGCAGGACATAAATTACCCGCAGCCGTCGGAATCGAGGACACGAAATGGAGTGGAGACAACTAATTGCAGCAACAGAACTTTCTGCGGGATTCCATAACAGATTTGGAAAATGGAGTTATGTTCGATGTTTAAATCTTGCCATTACAGGAACACTTTTATGGTCTGGAGAGAGTTATGGTTCGACCGATTACCCTGAAGTCTATCATGGTATTCAGAGTATGTGGTTTATTCACCACGTCGAAGGCAGCTCCATAATCTCGTAAATAACTAGAAAATTTTTTAGAGCGGAAACAAAAGGGATAACAGTACTCGAGCTAATTGCAAATTATCGAGGACGACAAGTTGCTGCTACGGGACTAGAGATCTAGCAGGTTACGTAATGTGGTTATGTCATTAGAACTAGTAGCGCGGTGGTCGTGTAATTACGCGTCGCAGATAGAAAACAATAAAGCACTTGCGACCTCCCACAGCTCTGAACCCTAACATATTTCTGTATATTTTGTGTACTATTTTTGTGCATGAATACTCGCTGCTAGACCTCTGTACATGATTAACCTTTCCACTCTTATATTCAAAGATCATCAACATAGCAGATCTACAGTACGTATCCGTCTTCTTCACGTTAGGCTTACAGCGCTGTCCTATATCCACCCAAATTGACAGCTACACCCATTTCGACAATTCTTAGACTTCTCACAACCTCGTTAACACAATGGTATCCAACTAAAATGCTTGAAATTTGTTACAGGGTCATATAACTCTACCAGCAGTAGGGTACTGTAACACGAATCTTCAGTTCTCCCGATAGATATCTACCTGAAACAAAGGAGGGTCCAACACGTCGGACTTTCAGAAGTACTACCTGCCAGGAGATCGATACTATCTGCGTGCAGTAAAGACAAGCAGACCACAAGGAGAACCGAGAACAGGCACGTCAGGAATCAAAAGCTAGACACTGAAGAATGTACCAGAATTTGTGGCATAGAGAATACGAAAGGGAAACAAAAAGAAGCCGGTAAGGTGGCCGCGTTCCAGGAGTGGAAAAACTCATGGACAGGTCCAGAGAACGAGAAACTATCTGGTCATCGAGTTTCGGCAGACCCTGAACATTGGAAAGCCGTAAATATTGTTACAGATAAGACAACGGGCAGAAAAAGGATTACACATAGAAACACACCCTCAAATATCCACTGGAACCTTAGTAGGTCCCAAAGCAGTATGGCAGTTCAGATAAGAAGTGAGCACATTGGTCTCAATTCTTGTCTGTATCGAAGGAGAGTCCCCGGAGTGATTAATCCAAAATGCCAATGTGGATATCCGTCTCAAAATGTCAAATATATGGTCTTGGCGTGTCCTCAGTGAGCAATGGGAAGAGTAAAAGTGTTTATAAGGGCAAAAGATAGGTCTTTCCCGGCAACGATGAACAGCCCAGATGACATAGAGAGAATTACAAAATAGATCCTAGCAAAAGGCTGGTTTCGAACAGTTCTAGCTCATAGAAGTAGAAAAAGCATTGGACGAAAAGATGAGACGATGTGGACAAGGATAAGACGGAATTCACTCTGTATAAACAGTGTAAACGCACTCCCTATAGGAAACTTCAGACAAACCAAAAGACATGAAACAGACAGTGTTGGGGATTTTACCGAATTGATTTCCTCCTTTGTAAATATTATAGCTAGACATACCTACATGGGCCCATAGGGTACCTGAATGGGCTAAATGAAACAAAATCAAATTTAAATAAAAAAATAGTGGGAGTCACATTATGTACTAATGTATTAGCGTGCTTGTAACATTAGGAGTTTCCTGATTGGATTATAGAGAACGAAGAACAACCTGGACCAGACTAAACAAACTCAACAGGCATTCTATGATTATAATTACAGGCGTATCTTGAGTCCAAAGTCTACCGTAAGCCAATTCGCAACCTCTACGCACGAAAAATAATGGTATTGATTCCGAATCCACGTAGATTATGAACTCATAGCTCATGGGTCCTTTTGGAGTAAGAGGAATGGCAGCATAAAAATTCAGTGTGGATTCATTTGATACATTTGGTTGTTGTGGCTCGGGTTGTGGTAGCAGGTATGGAGTTGGATTAGGATACTTATTGCAGTCTGGCGTTATGGAAGCACTGATGACATCTTTACTAACACTCGTTTAATTCCAATCTCATTATATATGTAACTTGCAGGCAGAGCTTTGCCCTTTAGCTTTATTAACTTTTAAACCTTGAGTTATTGCTTGCTATAATTAGCGTGTCGTAACACTGGTGATTGATGTGCAGATGTAACTGTAGAGTCGAGTGGGGCGTTTGGGTGGAGAATAATTGCCTAGACACAGAGCTGATCACACCAGGCTGACGAGCATTAACATCGCAATGACAAGGAAGAGCTAGAAGTGAGAGAAGATGTGACATTAAGTTAACCTGTAGGCACAAACAGCCTGAGGAAGTTATGGGGGGCAGAGAGAAGCCAGACATATGAACTCCGTATGGCTGTAGCCTAGGAAATTTCGGACTTGAGGCAAGGAGGAATTGCCAATTTTAAGCGGTAATTCATTCCATGCTTTAAGTCAGATATTCAGGATAAGACCTTGTCGCACCCAGTCCTAGTCGTGCTTGAGCCTAAAGGTGAGGAGGGGATGAACTTTGGTTTGAGCGAAGTTCGTCAAAGCTGGGGAGGAGCGGACCAGCAGAACGTGGAATGTTGCGGCGGTGGTGTTTTATGCCAATAGCGATAGCGCAAATAGCATGGAGGTATAGCCATTATGTCTCGGCGCTTGACCAGCCACGCCACCCGCCAACAAACGACTTAGAGCGGACTATAGACGGTCTAGGCCCTTCGTCTCTTGCCGGGGCTACGAGCGCTGCACGGGGCTGCTGCTTGCGCATCTGCCGGCCACGTCCCCGTCAGGACGCACACCTACGGCTCAGCCTAGTCTTAAAGCGAGACCATAGAAGCGATTGAGTCTGGGCGACGTCCAAGACGTAACGCAACCTACTCAGCGAAGCAAAGGGAAAACCTGTGAGATATTATGGAAATTTTCAATTTATCTCAGAGATCTACCAGCCAGAGCTTGATCGTCGCACGGGGGAGTGGGCGAGCGACGATGATGATGATTGACCGACGCGAACCGAACAGGGCTCGGGTCGAACCCCATGTTTGTTGCCGCGGCACGGAGACGGAGTCGGCTGGCGAGGACTACGCATGCGTGGATATAATTCCCGGTGCAGTCAACGGGAGCCTTACACATGTCGCAGACTTTGTGTGTTGAATGGCAGTTGTCATATTGGCACCGTCCAGCTTAAAGAGCCATGAAGCCGGTGACTCGGCTGTATCCATGACCCAGCATTGACCAAGTCCCAGCGGCGGTCCGACCTTGAAACGCCGCCTGTAGGGACAAGGAACAAGCCGGGAAGCTGGACATCATGAGTGCCGTCAGTCCCATTGTGGCGAGTAAATTTTTCAGTCCCTCTCACATCGTCCAGAAGCATTAAGACCACATGGGCTCCATATTCCCTGCTGTGCAAGTAAACCACGGTATCACTGGCTCTGCCTTCGAATGGCGTCTAGCAATCTGGGTCACGAGAGTTCGTGCCCTTTTGCTTCGCCCATGACGTTTCGTGGAGAAAACTGCAATTAACAGAGGAGGGAAGGGAGAAAAGATAATTATCAGTTCGAATCTCAATTTGTTCAGAATACATCCTCCACTCCTTTGCCTCTACAACTTCATCCCGGACCCCTATGGCACTTCTCTTTTCTACCTCTCACTCTTTTTCCAAAGTTTCCGCTTGCTTTGCTCCTATACCAGAGTCAAAATGCTTCTTGACGAACAGTCTTTTGTTTCCAGTTTTTGATATCCAGCCCCAGATCTTGGTCCCTCATTATTCATGACTAGCACTATCCACTTCCTTGTGAGCGCCGGACAGCCAGCATCGTTGTAGATGCACGTCTGGTTTTCGCCGGCGCAGGTGTTTCCAGGAACGATGTCGTATCACGACTCTACTTTATAGCTCTAGCTTCTCGCACCTAAGGCAACCTGCCATTGTACCCACAGCCCACTACAGCTCTGGGGCGCTATCATACCAAGGAAATACACCCTGTCCAGTGCCAACCCATGCTAGATCTTCCCAGATCACAGGTGACCCGTGATCCACCCCATCATACTCACCCCTCCATCTTGCCACAATACGTCCTCCCTCCCACTAAATCTTTCTTTGTATTGTGCGCTACCGGCTGTCCCATTCATCGTTTTGAAACTCAAATCTACCCGATCGCGCTCCTCAAGCAGCTTCCCTACCCCACAATTAAAGCTCGAAAAAGCTGTCTTCGTAGGCTCGGCTCAAGAGTTAAACCAATCAACACGTTAGGCGGGTTGATACCAATCATAGTAAATGTCGACACCAAAACTTCGAGTCTCGCAAAAGATAAACTCGAGATAAATATACCCTATAGCGTATGAGGCGCTTATCGCTTGACTCACAATAAACTCGCAATTTATCTTTCACTCAGCCAGACACATCTCGCTAGTCCTATCCTAGTTACAGCCCACTAGAGGCTCAACTGTTCATACTCTCCAATGTCGTCGAATAAGCAGTACCATAGTCACAGCCCTCTTCCTCAGAGAATTCGGAATTTCTTCCGAATCAATAGCCCAGGAATCAACAATGAGAAGCACGATGGAATCTCTAAATCAGAGAATAAGGGCTACTTCCGCCAATCCAAGTTTTTCCCCGGCAACGGAAGATACCGATCTACGACAGTAGCTAGCGAGGGTGTTATGCTAGAAAATAGTACTGTACGGTCTATTGCTCACTCAAACCCATATTTCATACACCAGGGGCCACCGGAACTGCGACATCATAATCAGGGTTCAAATCCTAGTCTCCTCCATAATTTGATAAAAAACTAACCAAAGAATAGGATCAAACGACCAATTAGAAAGCTCCGGGAAAGATGAAATAGCTCGCAAACTGAGGAGGGTAGCCAGTGCTCCAAACGCGCAAGGTTTCTTTTCCAACCATGATGGAAATGCTGTTAGGCCTTCCACGACTGGTGTCGGAAATTTGCAAGCAGCGCAGGGTGCAAATGATACTTTGCCATCCCTCACTGACACAAAAAATACTCTCAACGGAATGGGGGTATCCGTTGCGGTACCAGCACTAGACGAGCTGGGAGATCTAAGAAGTTTGAATCGATGCAGCCTTTTACCGATTCGGAGAACCTACAGCTCGAATTCTATCAAAATTCGAGATGTCGAAGTCGGTCCTACAAGCTTTGATAAGATAAAATTGATTGGGAAGGGGGATGTCGGAAAGGTATATCTCGTGAGAGAGAAAAAGACTAGCCGCTTATATGCCATGAAAGGTCTGATATAATCAATCTAATCAAACATAGGCCTTTCTGACACTTGCTAGTCCTAAGTAAGAAAGAAATGATCAAGAGAAATAAAATCAAGAGGGCTTTGGCCGAACAAGAGATACTAGCCACGAGCAATCATCCCTTTATCGTTACCTTATACCACTCGTTTCAATCCGAAGATTACTTATTTCTCTGCATGGAGTATTGTAGTGGTGGCGAATTCTTTAGAGCCTTACAGACGAGGCCAGGGAAATGCATACAAGAAGATGATGCGAGATTTTATGCCGCCGAAGTCACAGCAGCACTAGAATACCTTCACCTGATGGGCTTCATCTATCGAGATTTGAAGCCAGAGAGTGAGCTCCGCGGAACTCTTCATTCTCTCCATATGGCCTACTAATAAACGTAGATATCTTGCTGCACCAATCGGGACATATTATGTTATCGGATTTTGATCTCTCTAAACAATCTGATCCCGGTGGAAAGCCAACTATGATTGTTGGAAGGAATGGGGCAAGTACAAACTCCTTGCCAACTATCGACACAAGGTCCTGTATCGCCAACTTTAGGACAAACTCATTTGTCGGAACTGAGGAGTACATCGCGCCCGAGGTAATCAAAGGTTGTGGTCATACAAGTGCCGTTGATTGGTGGACGCTTGGCATCCTTATCTTTGAAATGCTTTACGGAACTACGCCTTTCAAAGGCAAGAATAGGAATGCCACTTTTGCCAACATCCTACGAGACGAAGTACCTTTCCCAGAGAATTCGGGTGCACCTTCAATATCCAAGCAAGTCCTATATCTTCCAAGCCAACATGTCTAGTACTAACAATTCACAGTCTCTGTAAATCGCTCATCCGAAAACTCCTGATCAAAGATGAGAACCGAAGATTAGGAGCGCGTGCTGGAGCTTCCGATGTTAAGGGGCATCCGTTCTTCAGAACGACTCAATGGGCTCTTATTCGACATATGAAGCCACCTATGATTCCACACCAAGACTCCGGCATCGACACTGTTAATTTTCGGAATGTTAAGGAAAGCGAAAGTGTCGATATTGGCGGGAGTAGAGCACTGAAACTTCCCAAAGGAGTACTACTAGAAACAGGCCTACCAACGCCCAGCGATCCATTTGAGGACTTTAACTCTGTTACCCTCCATCATGATGGTGAGGACCAGCGAGTTAGTCCTTTAAGTGGCAAGTGATATTAGAGGTAGAAGGCCGAAGCAAATTGATACTCAGATCATGGGATAGGAAAATATAACGCGGCTGCAGCTTTACAAAGACCTCAGATATATTTCTGCCGAAGCGAAGGTGAAACCTCTCTCCACCCCAGCAGAAAGGAATTCCAAGGTCTTTTATACAGAATGTGGGTCGACTGTTTTTCACAATTCATGCCAGAAGTAGCCAGGATCTAGATTCCACCTGCTTTTCCTGTGCAGCTGACATGAAAAAATATTTGAGGGACCCCCTTAATCACGATGGATTATTACAGGTCATGTTAAAATTATGTGATTAATGGACTTAACGAGTATCAACGACGAAATTACGATTTGATAATTTTCGATTCCTCGATTATATTTCGAATTGAATCAATTCTTTACTAGCTGGTGATTCATAAAGATCTTAGCATTTCTCAAGGATGGAGTATAGGCAGACAAGTCGTGATTAATAGACGCGAAATGGGGAAAGTCGGAGTGGAAAGCCTAGGGGCAGGCAGATGTCCGCTCGTCCGCTAAAGGAAAAGATTTCTTGTCTGATATCTTAAATAAATTTAAAGAGGGCTCACAAATTATACATGGGACAACATTTCATCCACAAATTCTTGCGCGATCTAGCCGTATAAGCATTGTTATTGGATGATTGACCTTGAAAACCACCATAATTTAGGCAACATCTTTTTGCAGGTGGAAGCAAGGCAACTTGTGAGGGCTCTCCTTCATACCTAGCGGGTTTGATAAGATGGAACCTTCCATCACAGAGCAACTCATTCACCAACCTCCTGAGGATCCCTGCCCTTCTGTGTAGAATAACTACGTGTAGCAACTAACATTGAATCGTTACTTTGATTTTATTTAGACCCCATTATTCCGGATGTATCCTTATCTATCTTGTCGCCTGGTCCATTCCGTTTCATCTAAAGACTGCATTATAATATTTGTAGCTTCTCGAGCTAGGTCTATATTCGGACAGCCGAGTAGCCTGTTTACTACCTACAGGTCCTATCCAACCCATTTTTGGACGACATCAACCAAGTCTCATATTCATCCGCTATCGTCCGAGAAGTCGATAAGTATTAGCCGTAATTTCGAAGTACTCTCTAGCATTGAAACTCTGTGAATTATCTAGAGGTTGAATTTTGTCGAGATTTCATTTAGCTATGACGTGAAATCTTGATCCGTTGCTCGTGCATGATATGTCGGCCTATCGGGACCGTGCGTCTGCAATTGACAATATTACAAGGGTATCGTGTATGCCCACCATCAAAGGCGCGAGCATTTAGATGTCTAGCTCTGATCCGGGACATTAGACACAAACATTGGTGACCAAGGAGAAACTCTACCTACGCCAAAGGACGTCTCAAGCCCGCAGAGCGAGTCTGCCTATTTGGAAGTCGAAAGTTATGGGGTAGCTATATCCCTGGAGGAGGAGGATTCAGCAAATTAATTGGTGGGGGACTAACTGTGCTGATGCAGTGAAAACGTCCAGTCGCGCTACTTTAATAATCCCGATTAAGGAGATAGCCCTTGATTCCGTAATACTTTTTCTAGCCGGTGAAAAGATACTAGGAAAGTACACGAGAATATATTTTTTATGCGAGATTGCGAACAAAGTCGCGCCTTGCATTAATTTCGGCGAAATGTGATAGATTGTCGTTCGTCGCCGATTATCTAGTAGGAAGGCGAATATTTACAATAAGGATCAAATTCGGGCCATAAGTATCTTACTGTTACCATCTCTCAAGCTCATCGTAGACATTGTCTCCTTTGCCTTAGTCATATCCACCCGTCAAAGGGAAGGGACTTTAAGCTTCGACAGCCCCTTCCACCAATGAGGCGCATATACCATGGCCAGTCGCTACTTGGTATTTACCAGCTCTCTCTCGTCACGAATCCTCAAGCTACGTGGCCCGTTCACTTCTGCTATTACTGGTATTCTCGTCGTAGACATAGCCATCGGGGATCACGGCGGTCAAGGGGCATCGGAATGACGGAGATTCGTAATGCATCGCCTCATTGACCGATTCGTGGATTGGCAATTGTCGCCGTATTGCGTTATACGACAAGATTTAATTTTAACCTGAGGATGCTGTAAATAATATTTATATCATAGTTTAATTTACACCGTGGTAGACACAGCGGCCTTAGCTCACTTGGGAGAGCGCCAGACTGAAGCTAACTTCGGAATTCAAATATCTGGAGGCACTGTGTTCGATCCACAGAGGCCGCAAATCAGCCCCGAAATTACTCATATGTTTTTGTCGTGAAGTCCTTTGAAAGGCCTGGAATGAAATAGAACAAATAAGCGCTCAAATGTGATCGTTGGTGCTCTGGGCCGCGTCGTGGATCTCGGACAGTTGAGAGCCCAACAGCATACAATGTGCACTGTTGATTGACTCATGTGGTGTAGGTGAACATTGAAATATTGCGTACCTACATTACGCAAGTACAACTGCCTCGTTAGTCGATTAGAGCGTAGCCAATCATGATTACACAGTGTTCCTCGAGATCCCAACTTTGAAATGCCCCGAGTTCTAAGTTTTCTAGAATGGGCCATTACCTATAGTGGGCGGCTCCATTTTGCCCAATGAGCATGGCTCAATCGCTTAGCAGTAGTCCTATCTATAGTGCCTCTGGGATATAAAATGTTAACCTCGAAAATGGGATGTTTAAGGGATTAGCCCTGTAGGTGCAGTTGGGCTGGCTCGTAATAGGTTAGTATGTCTCTCCTCCTTACCCCGCTCGCCATGAAGTATGGTTCAATCGTCTTCTAGCATTCGGTCTGATAACCACATTTTCAACAACAATTTTGGCTACTTAACCTACACAGTCCCTGAATCTTAACACCACTAATAATTCATCCTCTATTCCGGCAAACAATGTCTCTCGAAAAGTGTGCTTCAGAAACTAAAGTTCGCAAGCATCCTACTCGCGATCAATGTATTGAAATAAGAGCATTAAGAAGACTTGGCTTGACATTACAACATACATCCGACGAACTTAGCTTCACAAGAAGGCAAGTGCAACTTACGTGTGCTCGAGAGACAGAGAATCCTAAGCCACGCAAGAGATGCTTATCTAAATTAAGCGCGGAACAAGTTGATGAGCTTGAGCCTTTCGTCCGGGAATCTCCTGAAAATCGACAGATGTGCTATTTGGAACTAGCAATGGGACCCTTTAGCCACTGGGGATGCAGTGAACGTTTAATTCCAAATCCCCTCAATAAAATAGGTTACAGCACATGCATTACCCGGAAGAAGCCTCCGTTAAGTGAGGTGAACATGCACGAAAGATGTATAGCGGCGATAAAGGAAAATGGAGGGTACACAAAGTATTAGGATGGAGCAGACTAATACGAAACATGTAGCACGCTTTCATTTTGGTTGCGAGCTATACTGAGGACTTCGATGTAGACTTTTGTAGTACAAAGCAATAATTTTTGAAATAGATGTGTATTTTTCATATAATATCAATTGATTTATTTTGAACTTTGAATTTTAAATGGGGACCATTGTATTTTTCCCATAGAGTTGAAAACCTTCCCCATAATTTAGACTTTCAAAGAATGTCATTGGATAGTACTCCTGCTTGCATAACTGGTCGATAAACTAGACATGGGCCTGCATGAAGACCAAACCAATCTAATTGATATGCACAGGGATCTCATCCCAGTCATTTTGACAATTGTACTTTTGATACCCTTAAGAGACTGGACACCTATGGTAAAACGTTTCTCTGCATCTCTGAGTAAATTTAAGGCATGACCTGAGGGCTTGTCTCCCACTGTCCACGAGAGCAAATTTCAAAGTTAAACAATTGGAACTGTTAAGGAATGAGATGTAGATTTGTGTCACGGGACGTTATGACGTTAACCCGTCACTCATTCTGTGTATAGCTTAACGGAACAAAGTTCCTTCCGGAAATTTGCCCGATCCGTGCCAATTGACTCATGTCCATGTGAGAGTCCTGCTGTACAGCGATCACAACACCGTAACAAATGCAGTTTTCAAGGCCTTCAGGCTCCCAATTTAGTGATACATAGGAGGGCAAGACTGAACACCTGTACGCGGTGTCCTCTACGAACCTGGGAGTGAAATATTCTCCCAGAGCCAAGTTCAGTCAAACTTCGCAATACCGAACAAGTTGGCCCACGAGGCAATGATTCAAATTACTCCACCATATCAATCTTTCACTCCCAACGAAATCGATTCCTACCTAAACCTCATCAAGTTTACAAGTACGACCTAGTACATCCTCATCCCAATGACCACACCTCTTTTCGACAGTCTCTGGTCTTAGCTGGTCGCCAGATACACGCCCACGCCGATATTTACACCCGACGGAGGAAGCAAAGCGTGGCGCACAAATCTGGAAGACAATTCCTTGGAATGGATATGAGAGGGATCAGGACAAGTTGATAAGATGATGCAGAGGATTGGATACTGTCTCGACGGGCGTGGAATTTTGAGTTTTGGAAAGGAGTTACAAATTGCGCTTTGTGCGTGCCAAGTCTTCGATTGCGAGAGTGCAGGCGACACTATAAACACCGCCATGATTGGATGGTGCGGTGGTACATCGTCTTGGTCGGTCTGCCAAGTAGATTCTGGATAGCTTGGACACATATCCCACTTGAGACAGTAGATCGCTGGTTCAAATCTGACAAAACACAACCACACTTTTCGCGGCGCTGGTATGCAAGGATGACGAAGGCATGCTTGGATAATCAAAGGTTTTTAAATTCCCTTTGGTGGGTACTAACGGAGGAGGGTCGACTGTTTGTGTAAGCGAACATACCTCATAGTGGTATTTGCAAATGAAATCCAGAGTATGAGTGTCTCTAACGTCAAAAGAGTCATCCCACATGTATACATAGTGCCGGTCATGTGTCATAGCTAGATAGCTGAATACACATTAAATGATTTAAAAAAAAAAAGTGTTACATAGTTTAATACGTAGTTTTCACCATGTCCCCCAAGGGATGGGGC